CTCACTTTATCCCTTTTGTGGTTGGCAAACCCGGGACTATATCCAGGCATCATTCAGCCTCGCATGACGCCTTGGAAATACTCAATATCATTGAGAATGCGTAGCTTAGTAAAGTGTTTTTGTTTCAAAGCTGGAGGTAGGAGCTGATATGTGTCCTTCATCATCTGGCTGAAGCATCCACGAAGAGGATACCAAAAATAAAAAAAAAAATAAAAAAGCTAGAAATTTTGCTGGTTTCATTGATTAGATTTCTACGGCTAAACTCTTTGCAGGTTATTTAAAGGCCATAAATTATTTTTAGATTGTAAGAATTCTTTTTTAGATAATTATAGTTTAGTGCTAAAGTTTTACTATTTAACCCATAGCTGGGGAGAACTGGTTAATACCTTTCCCATGGTCGTTTTGTGTGTAAGTGAATATAATGAAGCCCATAGTAATTGGAACTCGGCTCTCTGATTAACAATTCCGAGCTATTATCCATTACACCACCCATACATCCAAGCTTACGGCAGCAAGAATTAAAGAAATGATTACCCATCTATGTGCTGACCTGGATCGACGTTGTTTAACTTCGGTGATCGCAGGGGAATCGGTGTTTCAGCGTGATGTGGCCGTCTGTCTATTATACGTTTTTTCAGTCACTTATTCAGCCTAGCTGATAATAGTGATTTTCCGAGCGTAGCTTAGATGTGGCACAAGGCCGAAAGTAAGGGGCACCCAATGAGGATCGAACTCATTACTCAGTCGTAAATGTTCTAGCGAGACAAGCTTGCTAACTATTACACCGCCTCGAGGTGCCTTAATGATTTTCCAAGCAGTAGCTTAGATGTGGCACAAGGCCGAATGTAGGTGGCACCCAGTGAGGATCGAACTCATTACTCAGTCGTAAATGTTCTAGCGAGACAAGCTTGCTAACTATTACACCGCCTCGAGGTGCCTTAATGATTTTCCAAGCAGTAGCTTAGATGTGGCACAAGGCCGAAAGTAGGTGGCACCCAGTGAGGATCGAACTCATTACTCAGTCGTAAATGTTCTAGCGAGACAAGCTTGCTAACCAATACACCACCTCGAGGTACCCCAACCTAGCTAATAATAAATCAGTAAAGTTAGATACGAATTAAATATTTCAGTAACTATAAGTCGATAATAATGTAGTTGGTCATCACCTGGAAAATGGTATCTGAGAGAAGAAACAAAATGATTCGTAAGAGAAGATGCATTTTATTGCCTATCATCCTGAAGCACATATCATGGTAGAAATGTTGCACCATAGTTTTAAATCAGCCCTGAGAATATTGTTGAACTAGTCTAATTGGCTGGAGCACGTTCCCTTAAGCCTTCCGATATTAATTCGTACGGCAGCAAAGGATGACATTCAATATACTTCTACTAAGACACTCAGACTTCTTGAACAACTTATCTTCCAGACTCCATAGAAAGTCATGGAACCCACTTCCTTCAGCGGCCGACTGACAGCCACGATGGCAAACCTGGCATACAATCTCACCCGTGCAGAGTCTCTAAGTCATGAATATTCCGAAACTTCTAGAATCTTATAAACATGTTTTTTTTTATGAGACTCTGTCCGGTCACTAACCCTGAAGCTACTGGATAGAGGACTCTTTAAAATTCCCAGAAAGCAATCCAATTACTCTACTGTGTAAAAAATATAGATCAGAATATCTGTTAGGATAGGCTGAAGCCTACCTTTTTGGATGCTACATGGCAAAGAAGACGCGGTCGCCTGGTCTTCATGTCAGATGGCGCCCAAAACATCTACTGTGTCAGTATTTTCCCCATTTCAGTTCCAGGTGTCAGGAATAGTTTTCTTATATTATTGCTGTTTAATTTTAAATTACCATGAACTTTTTCTTTCTTCATTACTTCTGAAGGGATACTTTTTGAACAAGGCCAAAACGCTCAGGGTCTCGGTCACGATGAATTGTGACTTCCTGCCACGATGAATTGTAACTTCGTGCGTGCTAGCACGAAGTTACAATTCTTCGTGGCCGAGGTCTTGAGCATGCTGGCCTTGTTTAAAAAGCATCCCTTCACAAGAAATGAAGAAAGAAAAAGTTTTTGGTAATTTAAAATTAAAGAGCAATAATATAAGAAAATTATTCCCGATATCTGGAACTGAAATGGGCCCGAGCCGAGCTATCGACGAGCCCCGAGGGTTCTGTTTACCCAATTTCACTCACAATGCTTAGTTTTTCAGGCTCTTTCCAAAGGTGTCGCACGCGGGGATCGAACCTTCTAGTCCGATAACATCAAGAAATCACCTTGCTGACAAATCAACCATGGTGAGATGCGAACGTTCTAACCTCTTGGCCTCGTGCCCATAAAAGGTATAAATTACAACTATATATATATATATATATATATATATATATATATATATATATATATATATATATATATAGATAGATAGATATATATATATATATATATATATATATATATATATATATATATATATATATATATATATATACGTATACATAATATAGGCATAATCGTAAACAAATGTAGCCTAATTATATACGCACTTTCTCCAACCACCCGATCAGCATAAATAAGCAATCTAAAAGTCATGTCCTTAAATAACCCTCGACGTAACAAATGAAAATGGGAATGGCCGGTTTCTTCTTTACTTAATCCTATTGTGATCAACATGCACAAGCCATTATATATACAATCCGCTACAAGAGTAGTGACACATGGTTTGATGATCGCATTGAAGTGTGAAATTTACGGTTAACATGAAGTGTTGATTGCTCAGTTCACACTGTCCATATCTATCTAGGTATATTTTCAGATTAAGGCTTACGGTGTTTTGAAAACATTCTTTTTATTTTATAATCCTTTTGATGTGGATAAATGAGAAGGAAACCCATTGATTGAATCAGACGAAAATTAAAGCCACTCAGAAAGTTCTCATCATTGATCATCAACGTGTGTTGATCCAATCAGATCATCTGACAAAAGCAAGACCAGTTAATGTCCATAAAATGGCTTCGTCTTCAATGATCTGTGATTCTTTTTCTTGGAGCAGAAAATCCTTTGTACGTCTGATCGCCTTACTTCGCTTTGGTATTTTTTCTAATATAAAAAAGGATAGGTTTTATGTCCATTTATAGGGTGTACCCCAAGAGGAGCCATTGTGGCTGGCAGTCGAAAAAAAACAACTATTATGTAATGAACGAATTCAAGTGAAAAGTAACCAAAATCTACATACAACACACAAAAAAAAAAAATCTCCCGACGAAAAGGATATATGGAAATGAATTTGTAAATGCTGTTCATTTAATATTCTTTTCTTTCATATTTATATATGACAGACAATAAAAATCCTAGAAGATTTTTATTGTATTTTTCCAGCGTTCTTATAGTTCCAATGAATAGCGGGGTTAAGAGGGCATAGAAACTGTCCGTATTGATTATTAGATTTATTTAGAATGATGGTGGTATCAACTAGAATTTTTCGAATGGGGACAGGCAGTGTTTCGTGGGGTCTAGATGTTTTTCATCGCACTGAAATTAAGTGATTTGTCGTCGTATAACCAATGTAGGTAATCGGTTTGTGACAAGAGACGACACAGTCTTGTACTTCGCAACTGAATTTATATACTATGTTAGTCGTATTTATTTTTTTTAACCTCCGATCAGAAAATGTAAGAATATTAAAGAAGCTTAATAAAAAAAATGATATGATTTTCCATGTATGTCACATCCAATATAACGGAACATGCATATAAGGTAGATTACTCCCAAACATACAATATATATATATATATATATATATATGTGTGTGTGTGTGTGTGTGTGCGTGTGCGTGTGCGTGTGCGTGTGTGCGTTTCTGTCAAAAAACGATATGATTTTGCTTGTATGTCATATCCAATGCAATAGAACACGTGTTAAAGGAAATTTGCCGCCCAAATATACAATACACACACAAATACGAAATATTAATAACATTATTTCTCAATGGACTTGAAAAACTACTGGAGACGAAAGAATTACACATAATAGTTTTGCCATCTTTTGACAGATTTGATATATATATATATATATATATATATATATATATATATATATATATATATATATATATATATATGTGTGTGTGTGTGTGTCTGTGAAAAAGATAGCAATTTCTCTATTTTTGACAGATGCACACATATAATATATATATATATTTATATATATACATATATATATATATTTATATATATATATATATATGTGTGTGTGTGTGTCAAAAGATGGGAAAACTGTGGATAATTTCTGTTCTTGAAAGACACACACACATATAATATATATATATATTTTATATATATATATATATATATATATATATATATATATATATATATATATATATATATGTGTGTGTGTGTGTGTCTGTCAAAAGATGGCAAAACTGTGTTTAATTTCTTCGTCTCCAGTAGTTTTTCAAGTCCGTTGAGAAATAATGTTATTAATATTTCGTAAACGGTTTATGTCATTCTATTTTCATTTCATTCTATTTTATCTATCTATCTATCTATCTATCTATTATCTATCTATCTATCTATCTATCTATCTGTTTCAGCCTGTTATTATCTACCTGTCTGAAATTGTGGAAAATAAAGAGAATGAAGTAAAAAAGAAAATCTTGCTTAAATGAAAGAGGAGAAAAGTGAAGAAAAACAGGAACATCGAAAAAATAGGGGTAAAGAGAGTAGCTGTTGGTAGAACATGTAGAGATGGACAGAATAAAAAGGTGTGATGAGAAGGAAGAGAGATGTAGAGAAATAGGAATAGAAAATGAACAGGAAAAAAAGCGAAGAATATGTATTGGCTCGAAAGTATTTCTTTTCAAATGATTCATGTAGGCTTGAGATTGCTGAACAATAAAAGGGGAATAAAATCAGAAAGAGGAAAAGAGGATGAAAACGAATAAATGAAGAAGAGGAAAGTCGAAAAAAAAAATTAGAAGAAATCAAATAATAACGGACTTAAAGAAATACAGAGAAAAAAGACAAGAAAAGAAAAGTGAAAGAAAGAAGGTAAGATTTAAAGAGAGGGAAAAGGAAAGAGAAGTTAAAGAAAGAAGGTAAGACTGAAAGAGAGGTAAAAAGAAAGTAAAAAAAAAGAAGTTAAGATCGAAAGAGAGGAAAAAGAAAAGTGAAAGAAAGTGTTATGGTCCGGTTCCTTGTACCACGGTAATAGTCCAAGGTAGAACCAATAAAGAAGAACTCGAACACGGATATGGAATAACACAGATATATTACAAACAGGAATATATACAGAGAGGTAGAAAAGTGTTAGTACGAACAATCAGGTTTAGTAGTAATTGTCACGAACTGCCTCTGATTGAGTCGCTCGCTCTGACAGACTGACAGGCTCCTGACGGATTTCACTCCAGATTTCAGACTGAACTCCAGATTTCAGACTGAACAGTATTTAGTCACCCCGCACGAGGGCATCATGTGGCAAAAGGCCGGTTTAACGTGGGATCTCCGAGCCCTTGGGCTCGGCCAAAAATATGCCCTTTGACGGGTTCAGGGTAGATTTACCTCCCCGAAAGAGACTCCGCCATTCGGCGTAGCCTCGTTCGGGTTCCTCCCCGCCCGAAGGCAGAGAGTTCAATCGATCAGCTGGTCAGCCGGTCGCCCGACTTCGGACTGAACGGTATTTAGTCACACCCCCACGATGGCATCATGTGGCACAAGGCCGGTTTAACGTGGGAAAAATATGCCCTTTGAACCCGTATAAACGGGTTCAGGCTCGGTTTACCTCCCCGAAAGAGACTCCGCTCTTCGGCGTAGCCTCGTTCGGGTTCCTCCCAGCCCGAAGGCAGAGAGTTCAACCGATCAGCCGGTCGCCCGACTTCGGGCTGAACTCTCTGCTTCCTCTTGAGGCGCAGTATTTATTACGTATGGAATAGTCCATTATGTTATTATGGGTAAGGTCCCATAACAAAATGGAAGATCGAAAGTCAGGCGGAATGGGAGGAAAAGGAAAGTGAAACGAAGAAAGTAAGAAAGAAAGCGAGGAAAAAGCAAGTGAAAGAGAGAGATAGAGAGAGATAGAGAGAGAGTAAAACTGATAGGAAGGAAAAAACAAGTGAAAGAAAGGAGGTAAGACTGAAAGAGAGTAAAGGGAAAGTGAAATAAAGAAGATAAGATTGAAAGAAAGGAAAAGGTATAGGAAAGGGAAAGAAAGACTGAGTGAGAGAGAAAGAGAGAAAGAGAAAAGAAAAGGAAAAGTAGAAGGAGGAAGGTAAGGTAAGATTGAAAGAGAGGAAAAAGATAAAGTGAAAGAAAGAAGGTAAGACTGAAAGAGAAGGAAAAGGAAAGTGAAAGAAAGAATGTATTAGTGAAAGAGAGGAAAACAAAAAGGAAAGTGAAAGAAAGAAAGTAAGACTGAAGGAGAGGAAAAGGAAGTGAAAGAATGTATGATTAAAAGAAAGGAAAAAGAAAAGGAAAATGAAAGAAAGAATGTATAACTGAAAGTGAGGAAAAAGAAAAGGGACGTGAGAGAAAGAATGTATGACTGAAAGAGAGGAAAGCGAAAAGGAAAGTGAAAGTAAAATGTATTAATGAATGAAACAGAAAAGGAAAGTGAAAGAGAGAATGTATGACTGAAAGAAAAGAGTAAAATAAAGTGAAAGAAATAAGGTAAGATTGAAAGAGAGGAAAAAGAATAGACTATGATGTAAAATTAACAGACAAAGAAAATATTGTAACAGAAAAGAATGAAGAAAAACCAGACAATAATCGAAAAATCGATACATATTTTTAAACTTCCTTTTGCATCCGAAGAATTATCTTATGAATTTATCTGTATAAATTCCTAAGTGGCTCCGCAACTGAAATCTGGCGACATTGACTTTCGTACTGTGAATATTTTTTAAAATAAAGTTCATCGAAGACAAAACCCAAGAGCCATTCAATGTAGAGGGCGACTGAATGAAACGTGTAGTATAAACATATGAAGACGATTTAGTAAGTGAAAATTGCGTGGGTATAACAGATAGACAATGACTGAGTCTAGATTTGAAGTAGTTAGAATTGTAGTTTTCGGGAAAGCATCGATACGTTAGTCTGTTCCACAAACTAGCGGGTCTTGGAGTAGACGATTTGGAAGTTGGAACACCTTATCAAAGGAATACGTCGGGACTTGTGGGTGTAGCAAGGCGGGTGTTGACTTTAAAGAACGGGTAACACCAAAAATGAAGCTCGTTTGAACATTTGCCGATGATATAACGACAAAATAGTGATAGACTTGCGACTTTGTGTTTGAGGAAAATTAGATGCAGTGAGTTTTCTTAGCTGCCCGTTTTAATTTATGATGTTGTTTTCGTGCGTGATATTGAGTAAGGTTTGGTGGACTATAGCTCACGGGTAAGTGTGCTTTTCGGTAAATAGAAAATATACAAAGGGATCGAACTGGAATAAAGAGATATGAACAGATTGAAATAGATAGATTGATATGAACAGAATGAGATCATGAGAAAGCCTGATGCGAGCCACAAATATTAGCGAAAATCTAAAGAACTTGCTTCTCCGGTTAGAGATTAGCCCTCAGCGGAGAAGCAAGTTTATCTACTGAGCCCTTATTCATTAGTCTTTTGGCAAGCTCGGAGGAACGTATCAGATTTTTTAAAGACCTCACTCAGTTCATATTTGTCTGTCTATGAATAGATTTAGATACGAGCAGAATGACATAGATAGATAGATAAAAAACGTCGACTGCCATACATATATATATATATATATATATATATATATATATATATATATATATATATATATATATATTATATGAACTCAACGTTCTTCACTTCACAACCAAAAAAAAAAATAACTTTCAGATGAACACACCAATTTTGTCTTTCAAAATAATCAACACTACAATATTTGTCTTGAAATAAACAACACTCTGATGATGTCATTGATGCTAATGTCGAAACTACACGGAATAAAATATATGTATCAACACGGTAATTTTTTCTTTTTTTTAATAATGATATCAAAAAATTTCTCTTTGAATATGAAAGGATCCAATTGAAAGTCAGTAGACAAAACTTGTCTAAATTATTGAATGAAACATGTCTCAATATATATATATATATATATATATATATATATATATATATATATATATATATATATATATAAAAAGAGGTAGAGAGAGAGGGGGCAGCGAGAGACACAATAAGTCAGACAGACAGACACAAGGAGAGGGTGAGCAAGAGAAAGCAAGAGGCAGATGGAATGAAAAATAGATCCAAAATGTAGGACACATATAATTTTCTCTTCCGGGGGAAGATATATGCTTTTGGATGTTAAAGGCACCAGTTTCAATTTGGACTTCCGGTTTAACGATCGAGTTTCTCAGACATGCGCAGATCGCATGTTACTTCTGTTTCCGCCTTTCAAACAAGATGACGACAGGACCACCCGGTCATTAGCTCTCACCGGAGAAGCAAGTTTATCTACTGAGGCTTTATACTCCTTTAGTTTTTGGCAAACTTTGTGGCTCGCATCAGGTTTTCTAAAGGTCCTCCATGTTGTAACCATACACACATTACCAATTAGGTTCATTATAAATGAGCGAAGAAGAAAAAGAAAAATAAAAAAGCAGAGAGAGAGAGAGAGAGAGAGAGAGAGAGAGGAGCGAGAGAAATAAAGAAGTTAAAGAGGAAAGGAATAAAAGAAGTGGGAAGTAGAAAAGAGAAAGCATGAGAGAGGAAGACAAAAGATGAGAGAGAGAGAGCAATAAAGATGTATAGAATGGATAAAGAGGAAAGAAAATTGGAAAAAGGAAGAAGTGAGAAAGAGAAAAGTGGAAGCGAAAGAGAAAAAGGCGGGAAAAGAAGGAGAGAAGAAAAAAAAGAAAGGTTCTAGAAAGGTAGAAGGAGAAAGTGTTAAAAAAGATAAAAGGGAAGCATGAAAGAGAGGAGGAAAGAGTAAAGGGAGGGTAAGTATAATGGAACGTTAAAATAGAAAGAAAGAAAAGAGAAAGAAACCAATTATACATTAAAGAAAATAGAAAAGGACTTCATTTTGTATATCGATTATGAATGATTGACTCGACGAGTTCGATAGGAAAACACAGAGAGAGAGAGAGAGAGAGAGAGAGAGAGAGAGAGAGAGAGATTAGGAAATTATTAATAAAAAGAAAAATGCAGGCTGTATAATTTATCAAAATGATGTCATACTCTCAAAGTTTCACTTTCTCAAACATGTAACGAACTTGATTTTTATCAGAATGCAAATGTGAGGAGCTGCTGCTGATAGCATTTAATTATTTTGTTTGTTGACGTCACGAAAGAAAAATAGCATAAGAAACAAAACATGAATAGTTCATAACAACGCAGAGTTTGGTAATTGCGAGGGCATACATTTCAGTGACCAAATCGGCTGGAGTCTGACGAGTAGAAGGATTGGCGCCACCAAGTCTACTTTGCTCAAGACACGCTACCGAGTCATATTGAGGAAGCTAGTCATATGTTCAGTTGCGCAGCGACACTACAACCACAACCAGACATGAAAGTGATGATTGTGATGAATACACACATTGTAGATGATTATGTCTAATTACGATTATCGCTAAAAAAGTATAAAATGCGTTTCGATAAACACATACAGGTATAAAGACACGCACACACACACACACACGTATATATATATATATATATATATATATATATATATATATATATATATATATATATATATGTACTCGTTTGGAAAAACCTCGGATAGCTCAACTTGCAGATATATCAGGAATAATCGGTACCTGAGGGAAAATGGAAATTGGAAAAAAAAAGAAAGAACTAAAAACATCAGAACAAGACGAAACAAATCGCTAAGCCTTTAAAGTCCTTAGACCAAAGAAGATCCTTTTAGGTGAAAACCGAGGTAGGTTTGCCTGGCTCTTAGGATTTATTCTATATATATATATATATATATATATGGGGATTAAAATAAAATCAATTAATTCTTATTTATATACATATTATATATATATATATATATATATATATATATATATATAAAAGAAGAACGAATTGTTTTTTTAATCTTTTATATATATATATATATATATATATATATATATATATGAAGAAATATAGTCTTAAGGTGTGCTATATTTATGGGATAAAGTGCTCGATATGAGAGATATAGCGTGTGTAAATATAAAAGTGAACATAGAAGTCAACACTTAGAGGCGACAGTCTGTTTCATGCTATATGCAATCGTCAGGCCACGTGTGCTGTTATTTTTCTCGGCTATTTATACATATACGGGTCAGTGGTGCATTGTGGGTAGTCTATTGTGGCGGTTATATATATATATATATATATATATATATATATATATAAAGAAGAATTCATTGAATTTAATCCCCCATATTTTTATTACATATGTTTATCGTTATTTTAGTAGATACCCGTAATTGAGTAAACTTTGAAACAGTCTTTATTTCATCTACCTGCATATTCGAGAAAAGCTATTATAAAAAATACGCTCTCGGGTAGGACTCAAACCTGTGTACAATCATGCAGAAGAAACCACCTTTTGAGACTGCGTACTTTAACCGTTCGTCTACGAAGAACTTCTCAATTAAGCGTCGAATAATACACTTTGAATCATGGGATGCCTTCTCCTGCAAGTAAGGTCACAATTCGGCCGGAGGGCACATTTTCTTTGATACGCTTTTTCAAGTGTGGAGGCCGGTGTAGACGAAAAAAAAACCCAGCTATTTAAAAAAGAAACGGACCCACTAATATATATATATATATATATATATATATATATATATATATATATTCTCAATAATTTTTGTGATATAACTACCGAGGGCAAGTGTGCGTACACACAGAGATATATGTATATGGCTGGGTGTGTACCGTCCGCTACAATTGAGTACACGTGCATCTAACGATGACACGCCTGTCTTAACAGAATAAAAGTCAACACACCCATATATACATACATACATATATATATATATATATATATATTTATATATATATATATATATATATATATATATATATATATATATATATATACGTACACACACATATGTGTGTGTATATGTGTTGCTCTGTAATTACATGCGTAAACACACGTATATGCGAATATAAATATATGGAGACACAAACTAATACACACATGCGCATCACATTTAGATATAAAGAGACTAAAATTGATATAAATGGAAAAAGAGAGAGTGATAAAAAGAGGAATGGTTGGTAAGAAGGAGCCAGTGTTTTGCAAATAAAGATAACAACTTTTAAATGAAGACAAATTTGATCTTGGATAAATACCAAATTGAGTGGGTAAGTGTCAAGGCGGTACTGGGTGGGGATTTATGTAAATAGACAAATAGGCTAGACACGACCAGGAAAGCGCGATTTGGCGTTTTCTACCTTCTACCTACCACCTCTGCTATATATATATATATATATATATATATATATATATATATATATATATATGTATGATTATATATATACATATATATATATGTATCGCTTTAAACTGCTGAAGTTTAATAACACTGATGATCGATAAGTTTTATGTTTCATGTTTACACATGTGTATATGTGTTATAAAAAAGAAAACAGATTGTATATAAAAGGTTCGTCCGGAAAGTATCAAGCCGTTTACTATCAAAAGAATATAATTGACTGACTAAACCAGTCACGTCTTAGTCCACTTCAAAGTACTCCTCTTGGGACTTAGCTCAACGCTTCTACTTTTCCGAAACATTTTTAAAGTCCTATTTAGGGATCGCCATCAGCGGCCACCTCATGTTCTTCTTAATCTCGTTCACGGTCTGAAATCTCGCTTTAAACAGTGATGTTAGACTTGGGGGGCGAAAAGACAGAATTCACCAGGAATAAAATCTGGAATGTGGGAGGAGGTAATAGTCGAAGCTACAAAGAATATCCGAGATATTCAAAATAGCGGGATAATTTCTGGATAAAGCCGTGGAATCTCTCAGATTTGCTTCTATGTCTCAGACTGTTGATTAGCGATTTTCTTTACAGATCTATCAGAGACATGAAATTTAAATTTGTATTATTGCGTTATTCCAAAATTTCAGTACATCAACAAATAGCGATTAACGTCAAAAACTCAGCACAAATAGCTATTAATTAAAAAAAAATTAGTAATTAATATACAGGGTGTTTCAAAAAATTTGATATCCTTTGAGATGTAAATATCACAGAAAGTACATGATTAAGGCAAATGAAATTAAAAAGTATTAATGTTGAAGATCATAAGATTTATTCTTCCAAATCTGAATGAGAAATTCAAAAGCATGTGGATTATGTGAACACACAAAATGCCTTTTCTCTTCTAGTAAATAGCATTTTTATACCTGTAAAGAAAAAGATTAAAGATTAAAGAACATAAAAATACAAATAAGAAAAGCACAAAAACATAAAGACATAAAAACATAAAACAAACATTAAACATAAAGATGCTATTAAAATTTGAAGTCATTTGAAGGAGATCTAACAAAGTTATTAGATTGCGAAATGATATCAAATTTTTTGAAACACCCCGTATAATATTATCGATAACCACATGTATAAGAATGTCATTTTTGATAAAAGTTTTAAAAAATAACCAGAAATACGTAAAAAATTCGTATATAGTCGAAAATACCTTTTTCCACAATATAGCTATTTGTGCTATGTTATAATGCTTATTACCTAAATAATAATAATACTGAATAAATATTTTTTAAACATTAAAGTATATTTAATCACATCTCCCTAATGGCTGTTGTTCTATCTCTGAAGGCAACCCCAGCGGATTTTGGATAAATTTCTACACAATTATTTGAATTTTTATCTGTTTTGTTCATTGAACCGAAAGTCTTTTTAATCCTTCAAATAGTTTCTGCAGACGAATGGCCAAGTCTAAAGCAAGACTTGATGCTTTGAATGCGACGACCACACACTACTCAACCCCAGTCAGCGGAATCGTCCTGCCAAATGTCTAACCCCAGGACTATCATTTGCTCGATACCAATATCTCTTCGCTGGTCAGAGGTTCTAACAAGCTAACATTACTCGAGTCAAAAACAGCATCGTTCTTTTGTGATGAAATACACATAGTTAAAAGGTCGTAGAATTTCTGAGAAAGATGCTGAGATGATTAAGGAATGATTGAAAATATGTTGGCATTTTTATGAAAATATTTGCACTAAATGCAACAGATTGTCAGTTCTCCATTTTGGTTAGTTCGAACGACTAGATTCCGCTTCGAAAGGTCGGTGACTTACAATATTTGTAAAGACATTTGAAAATACGAGAAATAAACGAAGTACATTAATTTCTCTCTCAAACAGTGTTAATATTATTAAACTATATTTCTGCATATATATATATATATATATATATATATATATATATATATATATATAGAGATATTGATAATATTAGTGGAAAATATACACATACATATGCAATCATATATTTAAATATATAAATATATATACATACATTTAAAATATATAAATATATATACATACATACACATACATATATATTTGTATAAAAAATAATTCCAAGAGGACAGAATCCAGGTAGAACTCAATGTCCAGGACAGAGTAAGGATATAATTTATATGGAATAAATTATGACCATGGAATATTAGTGTTTAAGCCTTTTTTTTATATCCTTACTCTGTCCTGGACATTGAGTTCTACCTGGATTCTATCCTCTTGGAATTATTTTTTATACAAATATATATTTGGATGTATGTATGTATATATATTTATATATTTTAAATATATGATTGTATATGTATGTGCATATTTACCACTAATATTATCATTTACGATTCCAATGGAATAAATTATGTATGGACAAAACCGTGTCGATTAAACATTTATTATCCAGTTAGACCACTTCTGCACATTCTTGTACTTGTAAAATCTCCGATACTGACAACATATAACACTTACTGTTTCTTCACCGAGATATGTCATTAGTTTGTCAAATATAGGCTACATCAGAATTTATCAAGCTTTGCTTAATCTAGCACAAGGCCGTAATTCTGGGGCACCTAGTGCGAATCATGATAATATCACAAACGAAACTTGTTAACCCTTATGGAGCAGCAAACAGCAATAATTTTTTATTTTTAGTTTGAATAATTTT